TCACTAAGAATACAAACTACGGGGGTTGGGGATTTAGCTCAGTGGTAGAGCTCTTGCCTAGCAAGCACAAGATCTTAGGTTTGGTCCTCAGCTGGGGGCGGGGGGAATAATACAAACTATACAAACTGTAAAGTGACACAACAGGAAGCTGTTACTCTATTAATATTAGTGGCACCATAAAAATATGAGGGGGAAAAATACATTCCAAGTCAGTTGACTTGGTGATGGCAGCCAAATGCTGCCCTGTGGAACATGTTTTTAATAAAGCAAACTGCAAGGAGCACGTCCCTGAAATGAAAACACATGGTGTTTGCTCCTTGCCTTCTGTGTTTGGGGAAAGGATTAGAGAGATGAGAATTGTCAATCTTCCTCAGACTAGCAAGGTACCCCTCCTGCCCCCTAGTCATAACCTTTAGATTTTTTTGTTTGTTTGTTTGTTTTTGTTTGTACTTTTGAGACAGGGTTTCTCTGTGTAGTTTTGGTGCCTGTCCTGGATCTTGCTCTGTAAACCAGGCTGGCCTCAAACTCATAGAGATCTGCCTGGCTCTGCCTCCCAAGTGCTGGGATTAAAGGCATGTGCCACCACCATCCAGCAACCTTTAGAATTTTTACAGTGAGCCAGATGCTGGTTGGGACTCTTCAGTATAATAAGGTGTGGTGTTAAACCTAGGCTTCGTTCCCAACACTTGGGAGTCAGAGACTGGTAGATCTCTTTGAGTTCAAGGTCAGCCTGGTCTACAGATTGAATTCTAGGGCAGCCAGAGCTACAAAGAGAAACCATGTCTCAAAAAAACCAAACCAACCAACCAACCAACCTAGGCGTCATGCGTATTAGGTAAGTGCTCTAGCACTGAGTTATGTCCTCAGCCCTCGGCATAGTAACTTGATATAGCTTTGAAGTAGTTATGATTGCTTCTACTTTTTTATACTTAGGGAAACTGAGGCACAGAAACTTTATATAAGTTTCATAACATATAATTCCAGGTGGTGGTAGGAGCTCAATTAAAAAAATTTTATTTCATGTGCATAATGTTTTGCTTGCATGTATGTCTGTGTGAGGGTGTCAGATCCCCTGGAACTGGACTTACATACAGTTGTGAGTTGCCATTTGGGAGCTGGGAATCGGACCTGGGTCCTCAGAAGAGCAGCCAGTTCTCCTAATCACTGAGCCGCTGCTTCAGCCCTGGTAGGAATCCACTCATTTTTTAAAAATATTTTTATTTTATAATTAATTTAATTTTACATATCAGCCACAGATCCCCTGTCCTCCCTCTTCCCACCCCCCAGTCTTCTCCTCCAATCCACCCCCCATTCCCACCTCCTCTGGGGCAAGATCTCCCCTGGGGTGTCAGCCCAGCCTGGTAGATTCAGTTGAGGCAGGTCCCCTCCTCCCTACACCAAAGCTGAGCAAAGTGTCTCAGCATAGGCCCTAAATTCCAAAAAGCCAGCTCATGCACCAAGGACAGG